ATTCCTTCACCAAAAACTATGTTCTTACCACATGACAGGAACTATTCAACCAGGCATTATAGCAATGAAGAAGAAACAGTCTCTATATTCACAGAAAATCCAACGAAGAAAAAGTTTGGTGATGCTAAAAGCCTTGCCCCAAATAATTTAAAACTGAAAAGAATACAGTTTATCTTGTGCTTCTGGATCATCAGCTTATCTAACAAGTAATGATCTATCAAATTTTTAATTACTTACAAAATAAAAACAGGAAAAAGAATTTAAAAAATTTTTTTTAATTTATTCGACAGAGAGAGATAAAGTGAGAGGGGGAACACAAGCAGGGGGAGGGAGAGAGGGAGAAGTAGGCTTCCCACCAAGCAGGGAGCCCAATGCCGGGCTCCATCCCAGGACCCTGGATCACGACCTGAGTAGAAGAGAGATGCTTAACAACTCAGCCACCCAGGCACCCCGGAAAAAGAATTTTTTAAAAATGCCAGTCTTATACAGCTCTACACTCAAATTAGTTCAATGGGAATAAGTTACATGTTAACATTTAAAAATTTACACACATCTCAAAATAAGCAATTAAAAATGCAAATTTTAAACTGGATAAAATCAAATGTGTGTATATATATATTTATGTGTGTGTATACATACAGACAGAATTTTAGAAAAAAATACATCCTAGAAAACTGGAAACAAAATATTAACAGTGGTTATTACACAATGGAATCATGACATTTCCTCTTTATATCCTTTCTGCATTTTTTAATTGAAGTATAACTGTCACAAATATCCTGTTAGTTTCAGGTATACATCACAGCAATTTGGTATTTTTAAACACAACAAAATGACCCTAACAATATGTCTAGCTATCATCTGTCACCATATAAAGTTATTATATTATTGAATATATTCCCTATGCTGTACATTATAACCCCATGACTAATTTATTTTATAACTGGAAGTCTGTACCTCTTAATCCCCTTCACCTATTTCACCCACCCCCAATGTCTGCCCCGCTCTGGTAACAACCAACAGTTTGTTTACTGTATCTATGAATCTTGTTTCTGTTCTGTTTGGATTTTTAGTTTTTTTTTAGGTGAAAACGCAGTATTTGTCTTTCTCTGTCTGACATATTTCACTTAGCATAATACCCTCTAGATCCATCCATGTTGTCACACATGGCAATATTTCATTCTTTTTATGGCTGAGTAATATTCCATCTCCTTTACCCATTCATCTATTGATGGACACTCAGGCTGCTTCCGTATCTTTGACTATTGGAAAGAATGCTGCATTGAAGAGAGGGGTGCATATACATCTTCAAATTCATGTCTTTGTTTTCTTCAGATAAATACCTAGAAGTGGAATTGCTAGATAGTATGGTGATTCTACCATTAATTTTTTGAGGAACCTCCATACTCTTCTCTAGGGTATCTGTACTAATTTACATGCCTACCAACAGTGTACAAGGGTTCCCTTTTCCCTACATCATCACCAACTCTTGTTATTTTTTGTCTTTTTGATACCACCCAATCTGACAGGTATGAAGTAGTATCTTTAGTTTTGATTTACATTTCCCTGATGACTAATGACGTTGAGCATCTCTTTATGTATCTATTGACCATCTGTAGGGTTTTTTTGGAAAGATGTATATTCAAGTCCTCTGCCCATTTTTTAATTGTTTTTTTTTTTATATTGTCTAAGTTCTTTATATATTTTGGGTATTAACCCCTTCTCAGGTATATGATTTGCCAAATTCTTCTCCCATTCAACAGGTTGTCTTTTAGTTTGGTTGATGGTTTCACAAAATCTTTTTAGTTTAATGTAATCCCATCTATTTATTTTAGCCTTTGGTGCCAAAGTCTGAGGAAACTGGTCTAAAAAACTATGTACAGTTAAGACCGATGTCAAAGAGCTTACTGCTTATGTTTTCTTCCAGGAGGCTTATGGTTTCAGGTCTTACATTGAAATCTTTCATCCATTTTGAATTTATTTTGTACATGATAGAAGACAGTGGCCTAGTTTCATTCTCTGTATTTTCTATATTCTCCATGATATGCTACTCTAATAATTAGGAAAAAATTACTGAAAAAAAAGGAATTCTTCACTTAAGCTGAATATATGATAGGCATTACCCAAAATAGCTTCAGAATGCTTTACATTTCAAACAATCCAAAATGCATTTCATAAGTATGATGGAATAACTAAAAATAAATCTCCAAATTATTAGATGAAGAAAACCAGCCTAATATACTTTTTAAATGAGTCACTGTGCCCTCATTTGGGCTATTCTGCTCGCTTGTTTGAGTTAACATATATAATAACATAGCTTCAGAAAGACAGACATTAAAATACTTGAATATACTAATTAATATTATTTTCCAGAAATTGTGGAATCTTGCAGTATTCGTATTCTCCATACTGTTAGTTCAACACTTTACCTTTCCTTTTTTCTTTTAAGGTGGTTAAGTCTCAGGATTACCATCAGTGGCTTTTTTTCTAGAAAGATGAGGATTTTTCTCCTGTGAAAGCTATTTTACCAATCAATGGAGCAGTAGGAATGAAAAAAATGTATCCACAGACATGAACATTCACATGATCAAGTAAAAAAAAAAAAAAAAAAAAAAAAGACCTGGATAAAAATATTACCCTGATTTCCTCAAATTTTTTGAAGTGTAATAGTATGTACGACAATGTCAACCCTTTTTGGGGAACAAGATGAAAGTGAACAGAAAAGTTTAAGGTAGTTATTTCACTTCCATCCTTACTGGGCAGGGAAAGGAGAGTTGTTAAAAAGTACATAGATTATAAATAGGTATAATCCTAATTTCTTTTGGTATATATAAGCATGTAAATTTAAAGATTTTCTTTGGTAATAAAGGTTTCAAGACCTTATTTTTTTTTAAAAGATTTTATTTATTTGTTTTACAAAGAGAGAGATCACAAATAGGCAGAGAGGCAGGTGGGGGGCAGGGGAGCAGGTTCCCCACTGAGCAGAGAGCTCTATGCGGGGCTTGATCTCAGGACCCTGAGATCATGACCTGAGCCAGAGGCAGAGGCTTTAACTCACTGAGCCACCCAGGTGCCCCACAATAACTTTTTTTCAAGGGGGGGTGGCGGAGGGACAGAGAAAGAGGGAATGAGAATCTTAACCAGACTCCATGCTGGGACACGGGGCTTGATTACACAACCCTGAGTTCATGACTTAAGCCAAAATCAAGAGTTGGATGCTGAACCAACTGAACCACCCCAGGTGCTCCAAAGATTTTTTTTTCTCCATTTTGTTTACCTGTATTTTCTGGGCTTTCTGAAGTGAATATTATTTTTGATTCTCCTTAATGGAGAAACATGGTAATGAAACTGAAATTTTCAAAATAAATTAAATATCTGATAAACAAGGTTTTAAATGTTTGATATTCCACAATTAAAACAGGAATAACTTTTCCTAGTCAAAGAGAAAAAAATGTTCCTTATGCACAGACTGCTAAAAGGAAAATTTATTCTTGGACCACAATCCAAAATATCAACAATTCTAAAAATCCATAACTCATTTGGTGGTAAACCCTGATATGATCAGAGGTAAAGCTATTTATAATCATTATTTATTTTACTTGGTTTGAATATTCATATTTTCTACTGTCAAAATATTAATGCCCAAGATGCTGCTAGAATGTTTACTTACAGTACATATATTTTACTAGTAACTTTACTATATTCTGACAAATTCTGAATTCAAATACATATGTGGCTTCAAAGGTTTCAGGTAAGAAACTGTGGACCTGGGGCGCCTGGGTGGCTCAGTGGGTTAAAGCCTCTGCCTTCGGCTCAGGTCATGATCCCAGGGTCCTGGGATCGAGCCCCACATCGGGCTCTCTGCTCTGCAGGGAGCCTGCTTCCCCCTCTCTTTCTCTCTGCCTGCCTCTCTGCCTACTTGTGACCTCTGTCTGTCAAATAAATAAATAAAATCTTTAAAAAAAAAAAAAAGAAACTGTGGACCTGTACTAGGGATATTATGTAAATCCCTTTTATGTGTGACATAAATTGATTAGTCTAACTGGAAAAAATAAGAACTATCATATTAACTTTATGTTTGAATTATTAACTATCTGATGAGATTTTAAAAATTAGTTCCCAGTATAAAAATGTTAACTCTTTCTGGTTTAAGAATCAAAAGACTCCTGGGGTGCCTGAGTGGCCCAGTCTGTTAAATGGCCAACTCAGCTCAGGTTATGATATCAAGGTCCTGGAATAGAGCCTTGCATCAGGCTCTGCGCTCAATGGGGAAACTGCTTGAGGATCTTCTCTCTCCCCTGCCCTCTGCTCCTGCTTCCTCCCTCTCTCTCTCTCTCTCTAAAGTAAATAAATCTTTAAAATAAAAAAAAGAATCAAAAGACTCAAAATTCAATATAATGCTTGCATATACATCTATTACACACAGATTAAAGTCTGCATATGAAATCAACATTATAAGAGCCCTTAGATCATAAAACCAAAAGTTTAAGAATTAGGTCTAGATTTGTTCATTAATATAGATAACAATGACAGCATACCAGAATATCATATGCTCTACAAAAAAAATTTACATTGTTTCATTTACTGTGTGATACACTCTTTTAAAGGATTATCCTCAGTGACAGAGAAATAGAACATTCCTAAGCTTTCTTGATTCTAAAGCATCACATATTAATGAAAAAGTGAAGACTAAAAACTTAAGTTTTGTTTTGTTTTTTTAATAAATATATAATGTATTATTAGCCCCAGGGGTACAGGTCTGTGAATCGCCGGGGAAAAACTCAAGTTTATGTTAACAAAATTAAAAACCTTAGTTTATACTTTAAGTTCTAAAAGAAAAAGGTTTAAAACTCTAAGAAACAAAAACATCAATACCTAAAAGTATTAGTTTTAAATGTTTCCCTAAGAAATTACACCAAAAAAAAAAGAGGAAGAGAAAAAACAATCTATTTATTCAATATGGGAATTTAATGATCACCAAATTAACAATATTCACTCACCTTCTTTGGGTTGAGCCATAACTGGAGTCTGAGTTTCCTTTGTATACGTGACGATTTCTCGAGGAGGAAAGTCAACTTGTGTAATTTTAGCCATTCCAAGTTTAATAGGTCCTCGTCTAAATAAAGTGAAGGCAAATGTTTTTAAATACAACAAATGGAACATTTAAACTACATCAAACCATGTTATTTTGGAAAATTAAGAATTAAACATTGTGTATCCAACATTGTAATTTAAATCCCTGTTTTATTCAAGAAATATCAGATGAACAACAAATTGGCTTTATTTTAACAAAAGAATTTAGAAGGTAGCAAAAAACAAAGGTATTTCTGAATCATTCAAGATGTTTGTTTTTCACTTTAAAAAGGCAAATAATTTAGTTTCTTAGAGCAAATGTGTGGGTAATAATACAGTAGGAGGATAGGAATTTCGGAGTGACTACTAAATATGGTTGGTTATGAGAAATGTTCTTAAAAGGGATATGATTCAACTTTTTTGAAGAGGCAGATATATGGATCTCAGACCACGTTTAGTTTCTTCACCATTAGGAGACCTAAGCTTTAAGAATGAAAAATAGTTTTCTGCTGAAGACCTTCTTTCCACTTATATTTTGCAGAAATTGAGAATCATACAGTCAATTTTGATTTCAAAATGAAATATTTAAACTTTTAAATCTCTAATCTCTGCATGGTCAGTACTGTCCTTGATTCATATACAGACAAACTACAATGCAGATATTCTACTCCTGAATAAAGCAACAGATACTTTGAATACAAGAAAACTGTTAAAGTCACTTCTGTCTTAAAGAGGGAATACATTCTTTTTTGACAAATAGAAGAAAAGAACTGTAGCTGAGGAATATAGATCAAATGAAAGATATCTTTTATTAGATATACTGAGGATCTTTTCTTGATTTATTAGATGTCTAAATACTAAATCAAATAATACAGTATGCTTACAAGCTCCCCAAGGAGTTCTCAATTATACAACTGTCTTAAAAGGATATCTAATAAAAGTATTGATGTAATTTCAGAATGTCAATCAGGGTATCTGAAATATATACATATATGTAATAATAACTATTTTCTTATAATAAAACTAGTACATTAAATGGGTTAGTTTTCTTTAAGATCCTAAATGTGGGCTACAATAAGTTTTTTAATGTGTTTTCCACTTTAGGAATATCTTAGCTTTAAAGGGAAAAAAAAGCATATAATCAAAGAATTAAATGGGAAAACCTAAGCAGATTTGAAGTAATCTCATATTCTAAGAATAAAATTTGAAATACAAAACATTGTATTCTGAATTTTAAAATGTAAACTACTTGAAAAGTAAATCATTCACGTACCTGGAAAAAAAACGGCTAAGCCAAGAACAACATTAGAACAAGTTACCAACTTGGCTGTGTATAGTCTAATTAGATAAAAATCACATTAGAACAAACAAAATACTTAAGATTTAGGAGTAGAAGGGTAGGGAGGTAATACCTCACTTATCCAAAAGCCACTTTTCCTGAGAATAAAGAAGCAACCAAGGTTGGGGGGAGTCTCAGGGCAGCCAACAGAGAAGCTTCCAGTTAATGTACAAGAAGCTCATATACTTTTCTTACATGCCCTAATTCAAGGCTTATTTACTCTTACTTTAGACATAATTCCAAAAGGTATGATCATGTGTTTTAGAAGGTGCAAATTATCAAATTACTATCTGAGTATGGCACAATGGCAGCACCAAACATAATTTGCATTGGGATTATAATAAATAAATGAGTGAATAAATGAATTAAAGAATAAATCAATAGCAATCTGGGGCCATAGTGTAGAAGACCAACAGCTCTGTTCCTCTTAACATCTTAGAAATCATGAGGAAATTTTAATACAGGAAAACAAATTAATACTTTTATCAGGTAACCCAGAAAAGGTTCAATTATATGTAGAATACATATCAGGAAAAGTCTGGGAAGTTTATAATCCAGGTTAGAAAAATTCACATCAAAGATATAGAAATAATCAAAGGACTCTGGACACTTAAATGGTAGAGTTATGGTACCTAGAAAATCAGATACATAAAATATTTCTTTCACTAATGACAGAGGATAATGAGGTGTCACAGTAAAATATTAACTCTTTTCCTAACTGTATAATGTACATTAGAAATTTAAATAAAATTAGGAGTTTTGCAAAGAATCAAATTAATTATAGAAGAGGGAAGGTAAAAAATCTATTCAATACCCCAAATCGGAATCTGAGTGAAGCTGAAGAACTGATGGATCTGTATCCCAATGCAGCGTCCTAAATGGTTGTAGGACAACCATGAAGCGTTAGCAAAAAAGGCCATAAGTTAGTCAAGCAAATACATTCTATGAATAGGTAAAGCTAAAATACTGTTCACAATTAAACACCACATGTTCTGGTTAGTATGAAATAAATACCAGGTTATCACTCAATGTTCTACTGCACACCATAAGCATAAGTTGGTTAAAGATGCAAACATATAACCCAGAATAGTTAAAAGACAGTATTTTCAGGTTACAGGAAACTAATATTGCCTTATAATGGACAAGAACAGCCAAAGCATCCAACAACACAAATATTATTTTTGGATAACAAGCTAGGCTATAAAAAGTTAAAATTTTAATTTTCTTAATTAAAAAAGCATTAGTAAAAACATCTTAGTTAACATATTATAATATTGCCCAAAGCATTAAATGTGTGCAGAAAATTGTCATATTGCTAAAGGAAATGAATCAACACATAAGCCTTTCAGTAAGAAAACCAAAGACTATTCCACTGGGATACAAAAAAGCTAAAGTTTCCAAAATGTGACCCCTGCGCAATTTATGGGTTAAGCACAGCCTTGAGCTTACATGTCATCTGCTTTAGAAAACAACTAAAGATTTCTGTCTCTAGGGAAAAAAAAATTTTCCCAGGACAAATATTTTATGTTCAAAGGACTTACCTAAATTAACTAAACTTCTAGAAAGTATCAATTCTAAATAAATATTTGGTTGTGTTTTAGCCTCGCCTACTGGGTAAATGACTTACATGGGATCTTTTCCACCTAAGCCAAATCTTGTACTACTAGAACAAAAGGTACATTATCACATGGGCATTCTTACAAGTTAGCAGTATATAAGATAATTATGTACAGTACTGTATGATATTCATAGTCCCTATTAAAAAGTTAAGCACAATATATGTAATACTATCATTTTTGGCTATATATATACTCATGCATATAAGTTTTAACAAGCAACTGAAACAGCTACAATATTTAAATACAACAAATAAAAAATAAATTACAACAAATAACTTCTATATGTTAGCTAATAAAAAAATAAATAAATGCAACAAATAACTTCTATATGTTACCTGTATAAACAGTTTATCAACAAAAACACCCAGATGAATTGAATTAGAGAAATTCTTCATATTAAAAATGTAAGGACGGGGGGCACCTGGGTGGCTCAGTCAGTTAAGCGTCTGCCTTCGGCTCAGGTCATGATCCCAGGGTCCTGGGATCGAGTCCCGCATCGGGCTCCCTGCTCAGTGGGGAGCCTGCTTCTCCCTCTCCCAATCCCCCTGCTTGTGTTCCTCTCTCGCTATGTCTATCTCTGCCAAATAAATAAATAAAATATTTTTTTTAAAAATGTAAAGACGGGGTGCCAGGGTGGCTCAGTTGATTAAAGCCTCTGCCTTCGGCTCAGGTCATGATCCCAGGTTCCTGGTATCAAGCCCCACACTGGGCTCTCTTCTCAGCAGGGAGCCTGCTTCCTTCTCTCTCTCTGCCTGCCTCTCTGCCTACTTGTGATCTCTGTCTGTCAAATAAATAAATAAAATCTTTAAAAAATTAAAAAAATTAAAAATTAAAATGTAAATAAAGATTTGGGGGTTTAAACAGGATTATGTATATGCAAAGAAAAGGTCACTATGAAGATCTATTTTGTACTAAGCAATGAACAGCAACAACTTAGACTTTGTTAAATCAGAAGGGGTTCTATTAGGTGCGCTCCAAGGAATATGACAGGTGTAGTTACCAGTTACCTACAGCTCCTTGTTGAGGATGTCATTTAAGTCTAAAATTAAGCAAAACTTTACTTAAAAATATACCCAGTACTGAAAATACATTGCACAACATACAGAATTATGTTTATTACAGGCATCAGTAGACATATAAAGTAAAATTCCAATATAATCCAAAGCCTGAAAGGTAAACTGATTAAGAATGGGAAAAGAGGGCGCCTGGGTGGCTCAGTGGGTTAAGCCACTGCCTTCGGCTCAGGTCATGATCCCAGGGTCCTGGGATCGAGTCCCGCATCGGGCTCTCTGCTCAGCAGGGAGCCTGCTTCCCTCTCTCTCTCTCTCTGCCTGCCTCTGTCTACTGTGATCTCTCTCTGTCAAATAAATAAATAAAATCTTTAAAAAAAAAAAAAAGAATGGGAAAAGAAACAAGAAACATGGATTACCCAATTGAGTAACTGTCAGCTACATTCTAGAGATAACAGAAGTGACTAAAAGAACTAGAAACTTAACGAATTCAACTCCAAATCTGCAGAATTAGGGAGATATCACTTTTCATGGCCTTTTATATTTATTCATAAATTATAACCAGACCAGAAATTTCTGGCATTTGGAAATAGTGATTCGGGTATGTCTTGGTAATGTCTAATATTTCTTTTCCTACCCCTTGAGAGTGTACTAATCTTGGACTGTCTTCCAGTTAACAGAGTTCAGTGTGTGGGTTCATACACCTCACACATCTTCATGTATTTTTCTGTGATACCTCTTCTTAATCTCTTTATTCTTTCATTACCAATATGCCTGCTCAATTCAAATTCATTCTGTTTCATTCTCAGATCTTAAGATTCTTTTCAAGGGCCATATATTTAGAAATGCTATTATTTCACTGCCAATAGCACCAATTAATCAACAAGATTAATTCTCTCTCTACTATGGAATCTGGAGATGATGTAGTAGAATTCATAGTTTTTACTCTTGTATGTATACATATAATACATAAAAAAGAACATATGCAGCCCTCTTGAAAATTAATCTATGGTCTCAAAGGAGACAATGTATGTAGTAAGATTACCAGGTCATCTCATTCAAAAAGAGGAATTTTTTTTTGCTCTCCTGTTAAACTGAGAAGAAACTAAATTTTATATTCATTCTCTAATAAGAACAAACCCCTAAAGGTATTTAAATACCTGTATTTTTGTTTCATAACTTATCATTAAAAATTTATACTCAAACACAAGTTAGCACACTATGCTTAGAACTTTTCAGTACAGTGAGTAATATCTTTAAATTAATGATGTAATCACTATCATGTAAGTTCCATGAAGGCAAAGACCATGAATATTTTATTTTCTGTGGTAACCTATATAATATTGAACATTAACTTGACAATGTGATGGAATATGTGTTCTATATACAAATAAATATTTTTCTTAACAGTATTTACTCCCTGTACCAATTCACAATATTCCAATGGGTCTCCAATAAACTGTTTCCCAATGAAACTCAGAAGGACATGTTCTAATTCACATTAATTTCAAAAACCAGGAAATGCCTGGATGGCTGAGTTGGTTGGACAACCAACTACTGGTTTTGGCTTAGGTCATGACCTCAGGGGTCACGGGATCAAGCTTCATGTTGGGGCTCCATACTCAGTGCGGAGTCTGCTTCAGTTTCTCTCCCTCTGACCCTCCCCCTGCCTGCACTCCCTCTCTCCCTCTCAAATAAATAAATCAACCTTAAAAAAAAAAAGAACAAAATCTAGTAGATGTTACATAGTTTTGAAAGCAAACTTACTAATGTGACATTTAAAATAATCTTTCTACTCTTCAAAATCAAGAACACAGAGTTCAAAATGAACACAGTATAATATCTACATAAAAATAATTTATAATACAAGTAAATTTAATGAACATAAAATTATCTGGGTAAATATTTGTACTACAGTAAAGCTGTAGAAGGGGGGAAAAAGGCTTCTCTTGAAAATACCACTTGCTTATTAGCAAAGGAATACTAACATATTTGTACAAAAACATGAAAGTATGAGGTATGAAACAAATTTAGTCTTAAAAATGAGTTTAGGGGGGCGCCTGGGTGGCTCAGTGGGTTAAGCCGCTGCCTTCGGCTCAGGTCATGATCCCAGCATCCTGGGATCGAGTCCCACATCGGGCTCCTTGCTCATCAGGGAGCCTGCTTCTTCCTCTGCCTCTGCCTGCCATTCTGTCTGCCTGTGCTTGCTCTCTCTCCCTCTCTCTCTCTGACAAATAAATAAATAAAATCTTTAAAAAAAAATGAGTTTAGACTAAATAAATTTAGCCTTTAACATATAATATATACTATTTTATAAGGTACTATTATTTCTAAAAAAAAGTTTCGATTTTTTTTTTTTAATGATGGTTATATTATTTATTTCCAATGACAGTAAAATTGAGATTTCCAATTTTGGTTCTATTTACAAAACAGTTTTGGAAAACACATCTCAAATCCAAACTGGTGAGACCTTTTTTGTCTTCTAATTGTTAATGATAACCTGATTTGAACCAGAATTGATTAAAATACTGAATTTATTATCTAGCTCTCTTACTTCTTTTTTCTTGCCTTTTAGGTACTCATTATAACTTCAATCAGAGGAACTCAGGCACAAAGAAGATAAAACTTCTCAAGTTTATTTCTTATTAAGAGGAATGTTAAGAGATTCTTCTGAGGAGGACATTTAACTTCCTGCCTAAAATAAGGATTCTGAATAAAGATTTTAACTACAGGGGTGCCTATATAACCCACTATATAACTGTAGTGGGTTAAAGCCTCTGCCTTTGGCTCAGGTTATGATCTTAGGGACCTGGGATCTAGACCTGCATCGGGCTCTCTGCTCAGCAGGGAGCCTGCTTCCCTTCCTTTCTCTCTGCCTGCTTGTGATCTCTGTCAAATAAATAAAAATCTTTAAAAAAAAAAAGATTTTTACTACATTTAATCTCATTTCAGCTGACATGAGGAGTCAGAAAGTATGACTGTTTTTAAAAGACTTGCTGTGTGTGTGTGTGTGTGTGTGACAAAGAGGAATAAGTAAAAGTACTTTCCCCAGTACAATGTTTGGAGAGAAGCTGAAATCTTACTGAACTTTTGGAAAGCAAGTCCCAACATGTGTGCAGGATCCTAAAACAAATATGAAATACGGTTGTTGTTGTTTTTTTAAAGATTTTACTTATTTGACAGACAAGAGATCACAAGTAGGCAGAGAGGCAGGCAGAGAGAGGAGGAAGCAGGCTCCCTGCTGAGCAGAGAGCTGGATGCGGGGCTGGATCCCAGGACCCCGGGATCATGACCTGAGCCCAAGGCAGAGGCTTTAACCCACTGAGCCACCCAGGCACCCCTGAAATACGGTTTTATAAGGAAGACGTGAGGATGGGAAAAGTTGACAGAAAACGTTTTTTTTAAAGTGAGGTATAATTGACATACAATACTATATTACTTTCAGCTATACAAAAGAATGATTCGATATTTGTATAAATTGTGAAATGATCACCACAATTCTAGTTAACATGTGTCAGCATACATAGTTACAAAAGTATTTTTTCTTGTGATAAGAACTTTTTTTTTAATATTTTTTTATAAATATATAATGTATTATTAGCCCCAGGGGTACAGGTCTGTGAATCACCAGATTTACACACTTCACAGCACTCACCTAGCACATACCCTCCCAGTGAAGAACTTTTAAGATCTACTCTCAGCAATCTTTAAATATGCGATATAGTATTATTAACTATAATCACCGTGCTGCACATTACGTCCTCATGACTTATTTATTTTACAACTGGAAGTTTGTACCTTTTGAAACTCTTCAACCATTTTGACCATTCCTTATCCCTTACCTCTGGCAACCACCCATCTGTTCTCTGTATCTATGAGCTTGGATTTCTTTGGTTTTGTTTTGTTTTTTTACATTTCACACATAAGTGACATAATTCAGTATTTGTCTTTCTCTGACTTATTTCATTTAGCATAATGTCCTCATGACAGTAAACACTCCTGTTTCCTTAACAGTTAACTCTATTTGATAATTTTATGCAGTATTATTTTCTATCTTGATTAGAACTAGTGACTCAATAGAACACAATTGAAGCGTTTAACCAAACTGTTTAGATTTTCAATGCCTGAATGGACAACTAAGCACAACAGAGGTTTCACATTATTTATAAACTATTTTACATTATTTTTATACTAGTCATACCATAATATTTATACTATTTTATACTATCATACATTATTTATACTGTTTATATTATGTTATACATACAAAACATTCACACAATAGCCTATGACGTATGCTTAGATATAAAAAAATTAAATCAATTAACATCTCTATTTTAATAAAAATAATTAGTGTAAAATCAGTTAACTATTCAGCCTAAATTAATCAAGAGAGACAGCTAAAATACTATTAAAAAAATTTCCTTCCCCTAATTTAAAATAAGTGTCTATGCCACTTAGATTTCAAAATGTTAGTTTTAATATAGCTATTTAGAGTCCCTCTAAAGCATCAACAGTATGTTTTAAATGCATTCTATCATTAAGCTATTAAAAGAAATTTACTGTACCTAGATCCCACTGCGCCATCTCCAGAGTCTTGACTTCCAGCTTCACTTGGTGTGCTCACAGATTTGGAGGATGGAGACATAGGAGGAGGGACTAAATAGTGAAATAGACAGGTATCCGCTGTTACTACACGGAGAGGTTGCTCAGCTTATGACGTTTCAAAAGTAATTTAACATGAAGTAATTAACAAAAGAGAAAAAAAATGGCAAACCAAAAAACAAAAATACATGAATGAAAATGAACAGTAGAAAGAACAGGAGAAAGATAAAGTTAACAATGCATGCTGACAACTCATGCAATTTCTCTGGCAAAATGCATTTGGGTTTTATATATAGTAAAAAAAAAAAAGCAAGATTATGAAAGGATGCATCTTCGTCCCAGCCAACACCAAATGTGGGCACTAATTTTCAAAGGAGTGCATTCCTTCCCCCCTTTCTAACTTTTCACTTTTAAGATCACCACATTATAAATACTACTGATAATTGTTATCAAAATGAAAACTCTGAAATATTCTTCAAAAGTCATTTACCCTTAGTTTTCTGAGATTTATTTTAAAAATGTTAATTTTTGTCCAACAATTTTTATTTCAGAAATTAATGCCTTAAATGATTTCATTTTTCCTTTACCAAGAAAAGGGGCCAATTTAGGGAAAATGACCACAGCTAAAGGAATGGCTCCTTTAAAATGTCCATTAGTTTCCAACAATTTGGGTAAAAAATGCAAACAGGCCATAAAACAGCATGCCCTCTAGACATGATGCATAACATAAAGTGATACATGCAACTTAAATAAGGCAAGACTTATGGTAACTTCCTTACCCCAGTATTCAGAAAAAACTGAAGTGTACAGACAAAGATACAGACACCCAAAATATTCTTAATCCCTTCTTATAGAAAAATACACATTTTTCATAGTATATAAAACAAACAGCAAATGCTTTCCCCTAAATCAGCACTCTTAACATTATATATCAACAGTTAAACGTGCACATTTCATGCTATTACATTTGTAAAACATTTTGATTACCATTGCAGGAAGTATAGGAGGATCATCACTGCCATCTTCTGGTTAAATTTTACCATAAATGTCCCCAATCCCAAGTATCTTTTTAAAATAATTTTTCAGTATATAATATTAAGTGACTAACACATTTTATGTTGAGCTGCAAGCCCTTCTTTTAATAGTCTATCTAAAAGAAGGTAAGTTCCTAATTATAAAGGAACTAATCTAAAGAACTACATCTTTAATTAAAAATGTATGTTTGGGGGATAGTCACATACACTGAACCCTTAAAATTATATTTAAATGTTTATACATGATACAATAAAAAAAGGTGGGTTTGCTAATCTAACAAAGTGTACAAGTACAGTATGATAAATTACATCTTTTGCCTTTTTTTTTTTTATTTTTTTTTTTGGTAATGTAAACTCGACATCCAACCTGAGGCATGAACTCTCAACCCTGAGATTTAGAGTCACATGCTCTACTGACGGAGCTAGCCAGGGGTCCCTATGTTGAATTACATCTTAAACACAGGCACAAAACTAATCATCCTTATTTTTCCAATGGCAAATTCTATTGGTAACCAATAGTAAGATCGGAAGAAAGAAAATCATAAATAGAATGCTTCCTGAGATACAGTGATTAAGTCTTGCTTAAATTCCAAAGACTATAAAAACATAATTGAATGTTTCTAATATTGTGACTACATCTCTCAGAAACAATGATAAAATCAGATCACCTTCACATAGTTCACAGGTGGATGGCACTGTGCTAGGTGCTGTGTATACAACTCAAAGTAGCTAAATATGATCTGCATCTAAAGTAAAAGAAAATTAATGTCTCTTAACTTCATTTAGGCTACATTCCTCATCTTTTTGTCTGTTTCCCAATGTGAGGCTTTCCCTAGTCTAAGTCCTAACTGATAAAGGAATAAATAGTATCTTACTTGGTTAAAACTACAATATAAAAAAAATGTTACCTCAAATTCTTTATGGAAACAGGTTAAACAGTAATTATATGTACAAAAATATATGAACCTAGCCAATAAAAAAATAAAAGTTACCAAGATAAAAAATAAATTACAGGAGTGATGCTACCAAATTATCATAGTTTATCAGCAAGAAGCAAAGTTAATCACCATGGCACCACATCTGTAATTCAATAAAAACCTCCATCCCAGAACTGTATCATTTCTCACAAAAGATAGTTTTCAAGCCAGTTTATGGAAGAACTCATTAAAGACTCAAAGTTATTATCTGGCTCACCCACTTCATCTTGCAATAATAAATAACATATACTACAGAAGAGACAAACCTAGAAAAAGAAAATTACCATTATTGAAAAAGGAGTAATATTAACAGAAAAAAATGGAATGGTAGTGTTGTTTGGTCACTACCATATTTCAACCTAATTAGTCTAGAAAAATCAAAGATTACAGTAATTGCACAGTAAGGCAATGCCACCATACTCTCAGATTCAACAAACAATCCCTAAGAACAAACAGCATGAATTCAGGGAGGTTAAAAAAAACCTCTGAAATCATAGCCCCTCAAATCTCAAAAAAGACTCAATTTTAGAATTCATTTGTAAAGATGGTTTAAGAGTCCAACCAGCTTTGAAAATAACAAAAGCCATTACTAATTAGCTTTTAACAAGTATCTGAGATATAATCTGCTTAATAAGAACAGCAATTACGTCACATTACTTTTATTCCAGTCATATATGTATATATACACATATATACATAACATGTATACTCATTATATGTTATATATGTGTGTGTGTATATATACATATATATATATATGGCCTAAAACAAGGCTTTGAAGAGCACAAAATAAAAGATTTAACATTAACATATGTGCGTATTTGAACAATTTTAAGCTTATTAGAAGTTTAGAGCAAAGATACTTATTTCCTTCTTTGAGAACCAGAGGAGAAATATGGAGTAAACTGAAAGACAAATCTACACCAAAGCATTCACTGATCATGTAAATAATATTGAAAGACTGTGACTCTTTAATTATCTAGAACAAAAACCCAATCAAGAAGGCCTTTCCTACCAGTTTAGATCTTGGCCTTCCAAGGATATAAAATCATACATTGCTGCCTTTTGGCCTGCAAAGAAACACCTAGATATTTTTAAACCAGAAAGCACCTAGGAATGCACCTAGATTTATGATGAGGATTCATTTTGAGGTGGCCACTCAGAACTATGCAGTCTCAGAGATGAAGGATGACACACAGCCCAATTATTTTTTGAGTAGAAGAAAGCCTCTGGCAAGAAGGGGCTTTTGCCAGGAAGGAGAACCTAGGAAAGGAGAACAGCCAAGGAAAGTGAGTGTAGGGAGTATGAGCTGGTATGAGACAGTAAAATGGAAGGAGTGACCTTCTGAGATAACCCCAAAGTTGTAAGGCCTCCTCTAGCTAATCTAGGATACTTAATACTCAAACATAGCCCGCACTACAATAATACCCCCTTGTGGATACTCTTAGCCTGGAATAATAACATTTAACTTTTTCGTAACTCCCTCTTTTCATCCTTAAAGGTATTTGCTTTAAACCTTAACTCTCCTAAATATTAATTTCTCCCTTTTTATGGCCTTTCTCCTGATAATGAAGATTAAATATCCTCCACTAATCTCTAAATGTTTTGTTTCCTTTATTTATTATTTATTTACTTGCTTCCTTTATTCTCTTCAATGTAATTCAGAGCATCAGATAAATTTTTTAAAAAAAATTAATAAAAATAAAATCCTGTGGTATTAAAATACTATAATGAACCATTTGTTAAAATTAGGCTAAACTTGAAGAAATGAGTTGGTACATAGAAAGCACTCATTCCATCTAAGAATCAGATAAATAAGTACTAAGTATATACTATGCAACATGATGACTCTAGTTAACACTGTTATATGTAAGAAAATTATTAAAAGAATAGATTCTAAAAGTTGCCATCAGAAGAAATTTTTTTTTCTGCTTAGTATATCTGTATGAGATGATGAATGTTAACTAAACCTACTGTGGTAATTATTTTATAATATATGTAAATCAAACCATCATACAACGTAACTTAAACTTACATAGTGACATATGTCAAATATTTCTCAACACAGCGGAAAAAATGAGATTTAAGGTATTCAAAAGTTACAAGGGGTGCGAGGGAAATAAATGATGCGATTCTTGTTTTTGACTAGCAAAGTTCTTTTGTTTTTTCCTAGTAAAAGAAAATCCTGATAATAAACTATCATACAAATCAATGTTCTGTGGCCTACTGATACAGACTCAGGCTATAGAATACTTGGCAGTGTATGTTTTCATCTCTTTACAAGATGTTTAAGACAGTAGTTACACATACGAAAGAGATTCACTTTATTTTTTTCAATCATCAATGCTTAGTAACTCCATATTGACTATAACATGTCTTGAAAGTTGTACCTAAAATTAACTTTCTTAAGACTTACACTTAAATTTAGTTTAAAAAAAAAAAAGCCATGCTTCTTTTAGGAAATGGTCATATTTCAATTTCCATTATGCTTTTTTCTGAAATTTAAACAATCAGATTTTGTTTTTGCTTTTAAAGCAGATGGCTTTTATTTGGCCTTACAAGAAGAAAGACATATGACCAATAACAAACATTTAAGTGTCTATTCTGTGCTGGACACCAGGGATAAAAATGTTATATTCTCTGCTTTCAAGGATCTCTGACAAAAAGCAGTCAACTCACCAAATAAATAAGAAACTACCAATGATGAGAAGCTAAAAGAGATTTTATTAGCTATAGCTTTTTAAAAAAATTCTTTTCAGAATTAAAAAAAAAGTCTATTTTAGGAAAAGAGATTGATATTTTTAATAAATCCTCTTGAATATTCTGGCAGTATTTTTACACCTCTATAATTTAAAAATATTGACTAAATACATTCTGTAGTGAAAAGAGAAACAAGTATCCATCCTAAGTCATGATATAAGATGTACTTTTTATTTTGGGCTACTGTCAAAAGTTTGGTAGACACTGCCTTCATCTGTATCCTGTATTCTTCAAGCCTAATTTTAAATAAATACTGGAAAGATCTTAAGGAATCTGTCAGAGAATAGAAGAAGGTGATAACCACACAACCTATGGCTACTATAACCATTATAGATATAACCATTATATCTATTATAATGGCCAGACAAGATATAATAAAAGGAAAAAAATTACAGGCACGATTCTGAGTGTATATGCAGAACTCCTAAATAAAATATTTGCAAATGCATTCAGCAATGCATAAGAAAAAAATCGTCTCGGGGCACCTGGGTGGCTCAGTCATTAAGCATCTGCCTTCAGCTCAGTTCATGATCCCAGAGTCCTGAGATTGAGCCCCGCATCAGGTTCCCTGCTCATCAGGAGGCCAGCTTCTCCCTCTCCCACTCTCCCTACTTGTATTCCCTCTCTTGCTGTCTCTCTTTCCGTGTCGAATAAATAAAATCTTTAAAAAAAAAAAAAAGGCAAAAAATCATCTCATAACTAAGTTGTTTATTCCAGAATGTAAGCATACTTTTACATTAGAATGCTATCATTATAAATCATCAAATTAGTACATTAAAAGGGAAAAAAAGCATATGATCATGTCAAAATAAGAGAGACCTATGAATCTGTTGCAAATATTCTAGCAGTTTTAAAGAAAGTCCAAATTCTTTGTGAATTCCAGTCGACAGAAGAATGTAGTGGAACTGATCATTTCTAAGAGTAAGTCATAAAAATAACAGCTTTTTCCTGGCTTTCTTTATCTTTGGGTTGCTCACTTTGGAGAACCTGACATTCTGCAAGGATACTCCTGCAGTTCTGTGGAGTGGCCCATGTGGACAGGAACTCGGGTCTTTCACCAACAATAGCCAACACCAACATGTCAGCTATATGAGTGAGGCACCTTGAAAGCATATCCTAGCGGCAGGCAAGCCTTCAGATGCCTGCAGCTCTGACTGACATCTTGACTTCAATGCCATAAGATACCCTGAGCCACAACCACTCAGCTAAGCCACTACCAAATTCCTGATAGGCAGAAACTATGAGAGATAATAAATATTATTGCTTTTTTAAAAAAATCAAACAATACAGAAATAAATAGAAAACTTGAACAGACTACAACCTTAAAAGGGACTTAAAATGGTGAATAACCTCTGCCTCAACTACCCCCTGAAAAAAAAAGTTGTAATCCCAGACAGTTTTACAGTTGAATTCTACCAAGTTTTAAAGGAACAGGTAACATCTACCCTTTAAAAGCTATTCTACAAAATATCGTAAGGTAAAGCTGTCCAATTTATTTTAAAATCATAACCACGATGGCCAATGAATATGGGCAATACAAGAAAATTACACAGAACACTTAAGTCATAGTAACTGAAACTGTGGGTTAATAGTGTAGAATCAAACCAAGTAGATGAACAGTGAAAATACAGAGCCCAGAAATGTCATGAATATATGGGAAGTGACTGTATGACAAAGTTGGCATCAGTATCAGTAAGGAGAAAGAAAGACTATCTAATAAATGGAACTGAGGAAATTAGCTAACTATATAGAGAAGAACTAGATTGGATCCCTACCTCATACTATATTCAAAAATATAATCCAAACATCTAAAGGTAAAGGCTGAAATTATAAAGCCTAACAGAAATAATATAGGAAAATATATATATTGTGTCTTCAAAGAAAGGATTTCTTAAAAAAAAAAAAAAAAAGACCAAAAGCACAAAAAAGGGTTATAATTGGCAGGTCTAACTAAAATCAAAATGAAGGATTTGAACACATTAAAATGAAGAATTAGGTTCAATGAAAGATACTATAAACAGAGTTAACAGGTAATAGACTGGGAAGTTTTTTTTTTAAATACTACAACAAAGAAGACCTCCCCTAAAATATACAAGGAACTCCTGCAGCAAGATAAATAACTCTAATAATAAATGGGCTAAGTATATGAATATGCAACTCATAGAAAATAATAGATACTTGAGAAATGGTTAACCTCACTATAAACAGATAAATTTATATTAAAACATTTTGGTATACTACTTTATACCCATTCAAGTTGGCAAAAATTGGAAAGTCAGAGAACATCAGGTGATGATGTGGATATGGTAAGATAGTTACTTTCTCATTCACTGGCACTGGGCGGGTAAACCTATAGTCATTCTTTAGAGTGGTATGTTGTCTCTAATAAATGTAAAGTAAGCTTATACACAACAACACAAGTCAATTCTTAGGCATACATCCCAGAGAAACTCTTCCACAGTTCTCAAAAGTAAAGTATGTATTCTTTGCAGTGTTTACTGTGATAGCAAAGAGATGGAAGCAATCTAAGTGCCTATCACTTGGGGAACAGATAAGTAAAATATGGTATATAATGGAATACCATGCATCAGTCAAAAATAAGTAACTAGATCTGTATTTAGCAACATGGGTAGGTCTCAAATGCTGCTTAACAAAAAGATACAAACAGAACGATACATAACACAATGTGTTTATGTGTATAAAACATACATGCACACATATATATATGAAACCCTGAAGTATGTAAACACAGGTAGGACAGATTAAAAGCACATATGTTAAAAATGCAAACATGGGTACTTAAGCAAGACTGGGAACGGGGATGGAACTGGAGATGGGGAATAAGGGAAACACACACACACACACACACACACACACACACCTCTGAAGATCGGTCTTTCAAGACTTGATAATGGAGGAGGGTCATGAACTGAGAGATATGAGCAAGTGAATTCAGTAAAACTGAAATACTAAAAATAGAAAAGGGAAAAAAAAATCCCACAGGAGGAAAACAAAGCCAGCTACAGAAAAAATGATCAAAGACTATACAACTAAAGAGAAACTTGGTTTAGTTACTACTTTATTAACAATACTGTTCTCATTCATTTACTTTTAAAATTGCAATATGAATGTAAACTTATTAAATAAAGACATATACATATATTTCAACCTTCAAATGCTATCATTATGGAAAAGGCAAATGAGTTGAAAGAAGTAACAAGAAGCAGACCATGAGAGTACCCAGCTTTTTCATCTTGAAACCTTTTAGAAATATCAGTTCTAGAAACAGTTATGTTGTAGTTCACGAAGGCAAACAGCAGTTGTTATTTCTGATATTTATTCCCTGAACTAGATGGAATTAGCTGCCGACAAACTAACCCTAAATGACAAAGAGCATGTGAAACTAAAATACCACGTAACAGCATCCAGGTTAGAATTATTTTAAGTAAGTGTTTAATGCTTTCTGACCTGTAACTAGATTGTCTTCGGTACCTCTACTATGTCAGCGTTTTGGTTTAGTACTCTCATCAAAATGAATGGCCCAAGAAAAAACAAGTCAAACTGCTGCATGAACGGCTACCAATATTATTTCCCTTACTAGCAATGAGCACAGAAGGCTACCTTTTCCTTCCCCTCCTATATCTCTGAACACTAACATACTTTTAGAATTTTGATTCATTATACCTCTGTTTAACCTACAGAAAAAAATACAGAGTTAAGATCAGGAGTCATCTTTAAGCCAAATACAGTATGGCATAGAAACTTGTTCAACAAATGTTGAACTAAATTACTGATTTAATAAGAGAAGTCAAATGGTTGTTCAGTGTATGTTAATAAGTACACTTAATCTTGCAGCTCTCGTAAACAAACAAAATAACCATGTATTGGCACATGTGAAAAAAGATAATTCTGAATAAAGTGTAAGATTAATTATTTTTAAGAGACACAAATAAGAAAAATATGCAAAATCTATTAAAGTCAATTGTATTCATCTCAGATATATCTGAGCTGAGTAACATCTGTTCTTGGCTCTTATAAATGGATATATTCTTATCCTTACCAATGGGGGATTCTGGAGTTAGCCCCATGCTTTGAAGCAATGCTTCAGCTTCTCTTCTTTTTTTTTCAAGATCTGATTCTTCTTGCACAGGAGCAACTGCTTCCTTCTTCTGATCAGTCTATTTTTAAAGTTGAAAATTTAAATTTACATAGGCTATGTAACATTTCTGCTTGCAAAAAAAGGTATATTTTAAATAATGAATGAACACTGTTTACTCTTGGGGGGGTGACTTGGTTTTGAATGCACATTACACTCATTACATGAAAACCATTCCCAGTAGAGTTCTAGTAAGTAATTTCCAAAGGATATGTAATCAAGGAGTTCCCACAAAAGTTTTTACCTAATAGGTAAATTAAAAAATCCAGCCATCTTCTATTTATCTACAGTATGAAGTTGCTATTCACAGTTAGGAATTGTGGAAACCTCCCCCAGTGGCACAAAAGCTTAGATATAAATGCCACAACACTATAAAAAAAAATTACTTAACAGGTAACAAATTTTAAGTAAATGGACAATGTGATTTGTTGAAAATCAAGTATGAATACCTCAAACTTCTGTATGAAGTCTTCATTGTATTTATGCAATTTTATGTAGAAGATGTTTGTCAAAAATTCACCTGGAAAAAGGTTTTTATTTCTGTTTTTTAAATTATAGGTCTTATTTTTATGACAATGAAAACATGGTTGAATTTGGTAAAGTTAAAATTAACTCTTGCATAATACAAAACATTTGTTTTCAAAATTATTGCCAGCTTTTATTTCAGTCACTTATAGTTTTAGCAGAAATCTTCCAGGTAAACTAGATAAGCCTCAATAACCTCAGATCATCCAAAACATCTCAAATGAAATTTAAGCCTTCCGAGGGAAAGTTTTCTATATACACCTCAGATGCCTATTTTGTCTAGACAACTATTACTCATACAATTATCCACAGTGAATTCTGTCAATCATAATATTCTATGATACCACTTTAACTTAAAAAAGTCATCAGTGGACTTCATCACAATAGCCAAACAGGCTATATTATCAAGTTGACACTTTACCTGTAATTATAGCAATGTATTAGTAGACTCACTGTTTAATACTATTAAATTATCTCTTGTAATGTTATATAACTTTTAATCATCTATAGATCATATAGTAGATATCCCTAGACTATTTATGCCAATTATGGCCATCTTAGAAAACAAAAATCAAACATGCTCTCAGCACTGAAGGGTTTAAGGTTATAGACACTACTGTGGAATGGCTCTATCGGACATGGTTCTATCAGTTAACTTTTAATCAAAGAGCTAACTTAAACCTCCAACTTTCTTACAATAATATATCACAGAAAGGTTCAGAATAAATTAGAAAATTCTTCAAAGGCGTTTACAGCATCATAAAAATGCTGCATGCATATTAATTGTACTTTTAATTTTTCTGATTTTTCTTTTCCCTTAAGAGATTTCTAGAAATCTTGGTTACTGGCAATCAAATAGAAACCTTGGTACTAATGTCACACTTGGGACAAATTATCTTACGCTGATCATTTAAACATATTAATTTAAAACATACCTGTGGTAAAAGTTTGCAAATCTGTCCAAATAGTTGGGAAAAATGTACACATCCATACAGCAACAAGTAAAATATCTCCAGCTCAGGCTCAATGTATATTTGCCATACATGATAAAATGGTGATGTGAAAAATCAGACGACATACCTATCTGGTCTATCCTTAAGGTAATATCAGACCTACTGCTTGGCAAAAACATTTCATGGAAAATGTTTCATAATGAAAAAGATAACAAATTCCCTAATCAATTAAATAACCTATTATATTTCTCTTTTCTATTATTTATTCTGACAGATTGTTAGCAGTGCAGACTAGCAAAGCATTCAGATAAGGAAATTCAAATTCCAAACTAAGTTATGATATAAATGCCATGTTTTATGAGCTATTACAAGGTAGATGTCCCTTAATTTATATAATAAACATACACCTAGAAGAGAAATATGTAGATTGAGTTTTATAAACCAAATCCTCAAAATGCATCAATCTATACAAAATATTTTTATTCAGTAAAAAAATCATATTTTAATTTATTAATTTTGTCATTTTCACAAACCTGGCTTCTTTAAAGTAAAATTCACCTACAGTGCCATATTTGCAGTCACAACTGCTGGATTTTTAACTATTCTGAAAGTATTACATAAAGGTGTAAGTATTTGATACTAAATCCAATTATTTTACATAGTTTACTTAAAAAAATAAAACATACTTCCTTTTTCTTCCTTTCTTCTTCTTTTCTCTTCTTTTCCTCTCTGATTTGGGCCAACCTCTGCTTCTTTCGTTCCAATTCTGCCTTTAATTCACTTTTGTCCGACATGTTTGTGACCTTAAAAAACATACAATCATTTACAATCATTATTACGTTGGTAAAAGTAGCGCTCTTTTAAAAAATACATCTTCAAGAAGAAAATTGTCTCAAGAGGCCATGTAGTTCACTGCCATCAAAAGACAACATAAAAAAATCTACTTTTTAAATATGGAAACATATATATTACTAAGTCTTGAAAAACATTATAAAGAAATGTACATAAATATTCAGAATTGAACAAAGTAAGCTAGCACCAAGTAAGCTCTTCACATGCCCAGATTTAACGCAATGTCTCAGACTCTTAAAACAGAGGACTTGGGTTGGCATTAAGGAGCTCTTAGGTTATACGACAGAGAGCAAATCTATTACCAGTTTTGCATTCATCCCTAAAATTTTGATTTAAAAAATATGCGGTCAGACAAAATTCCCGTAAATGACGTGTAACATTAATAATATTCAGGACAAGCAAAACACAAAATTTACCATGATTAACTATCAAATAAATTCAAAGTAAGTATACTTTTAGTCAAAGCCCAACAGCAAAGTCTGACCAGCTCATCCTCCCAGGCCGGAAGCTCCGTGACTGACAAGTTCACTTTCTCAAAACTACAAGGAAGAGAAAGCCTCTGTCATTTCGTGCTACAGCCTCCACGTTCGGGCACTTTGCAACGTACACGCCAAGGGAAGGCGCTGTCAACGCCGTGTACGAATGACTTTTGTTTATAAAATGGGGGCAAGGTGGAAAGGAGTCACTTTTCCCCTGAGGTCACCACCAAGAGGGCGCGGTCCAGGATAGTGCGTCTAGGAGGGGGCCACTGGGCGCCGGCAAGCCTCGAAGCTCCGCAGGCCATCCTCCGGTGAGTCAAGAAGGGCAACCAGTAGTCTCGTCTCCCCAGGCCTTCCTGAGTCACTGCACCTGGCTCTCCCCGCCTCTCCGGGAGCCGGGCCGGGCAGCGCTGTCAGCAGGAACTGCCAAACCGCCCTTTGAGCCCAGACATGAGACACATAGGGCCGAAAAGCGTTGAGTCTAGCACAGTCAACTCACCTGTCAGCTGGCGCGATGGGAGAAAGAGTCCGCCCGCCTGCAACGTCCGGATAACGTGTCTCTTCCTCACTCCCAACTCCCAATAGTCGCAGCCACTAGCTCCGCTGCTTCCCGAAGCACACAAAGAGGGATGGGCGGCGGCTACTACGGCGAGAGCTTAGGGACAAACAGCTTCACCAGAACTAGGTCGCTCCCAGAAAAAAAGGGTGGAGCCCTGCTGCGTGAATTTCAGCCTCTCCGTAAGTTACCTCTGCAAAGTAGAAACCGAGAGATAAGACAATGAACCCACTCAGTCTAGTGTCTTGAAGTGTTTCCACTTTTCCAAGAACTGGAAGAATACGCCTGATGTCCTCCGACTAGGTAAGCAACCACACACCCTCGCCTACACCGATGCAGACGATCGGAGAGAACTACAATTCCCAGCTGCAAGGGAATCCTGCGTGCCACGAGCAATGCATTCTGGGAGTTATGGTCGCTGGTAGTCGCAAGGCATGCCGGGACGTGTAGTGTTTTTCTAGGTTTGCGGTTTCCCACTTAAGGGCCTTCTATCTTCAGTATTCCCGAGAGAAGCTTCCAGGACTTCCCTTTAACGTGTTCTGCTACGTTGGTCAGTGCTCACAAAATCGTATGTGTTATACGTTAAGATCTTTGACTCAGCGTTGGCCAGATTTTAAGAAGGGTTCGTTCCCGGTGGTGAACTTAACGTATTTCACTGCACATGGAGAACATTTTTTTAGGGTATATACACCAGTTTTAGGAAAAAATGCCTTATAGAGCTTTCATGTGGCATCTAAGGCAATAGCTAAAATATAAAACTAAATTTTGAAAATGTAGTGTAACCCATTCCGTCAGAAATGTAACCATTTGTCTTTAATTAGAAATTACAAAAAGATTTGGGGGGTGCCTGGGTGGCTCAGTGGGTTAAGCCTCTGCCTTCTGCTCAGGTCATGATCCCGGGATCCTGGGATCGCCCGGAATCAGGCTCTCTGCTTGGCAGGGAGCCTGCTTCCCCCGCTCTCTCTGCCTGCCTCTCTGCCTACTTGTGATCTCTCTCTGTCAAATAAATAAGTAAAATCTTTTAAAAAAGAAAAAGATTTGGAAGTCTTTACAGTTTTTCCTAGTATTCTTGAGCGGTTGTAAAACTTGCTTAGCTGGAGTGTTACAATTACGAAAATTTGCAGTAAAAACTCTTTTTTTTTTTTTTTTTTTTTGGAGCCCAATGCTGGGCCTGAACTCAACACCCTGAGATCAAGACCTGAGTCAAAATTAAAGTCTAGAGTCAGGTGGTCTAACCAAATAAGCCACCCAGGCACCCCAGCAATAAAGACTTCTAATCCCCATATCTTCTAAGTTTTATCATGTACACATGGACTATTCATTTGAGTCTACAAATAAAGTGGTTACTGTTGGAATAAGTAAAAAGATAAATAAATGTTTATCAGCACTGCAAATAATTCTCCAGTACTTCATTGCAGTGTAGTAGGTAGCATTTTGATTTTCTCTCAAGAATTTTTGAAAAGGGAGAATTTTACACTATTGAAATCAATCAATTTGCACTATTGAAACGAAGCAAGAATGGTTTCCACAGCTGTTAGGTTTTTTAATATACAAAAAAGGAAAAGTTATTGGAATATGAATTTGCCAGAAATTTAAGGGTCAATACACATTTTCAATTATCTTATTTAAATAAAGCAGTATTTGGAAACAAAGCTAACATCAAAACAATGTCTTTCTTACACTCTAGAGGGACACTGCCCAAATTTAAGATTAACCTTTAGGATTTAAATTCTAAGTCCTTGGGCCTGTGCCTAGTCTTTTCCTTATCTTACCCTGTCTATATAAAAGATAAATATCTCAGAAATAAATTTGAGAAGGAAAATTCAATTTCAAAACTTTTCCCCATAACCTGAAAGTTCTAAGAGCCCTATAACTGTACTACCTTTTTTCCTTTGTAATATTTAGTTTTTAATTTTTATTTAGTTTTTTATTAATTTGAAAATTTGTTATTGGTTGCCTACCATGTGCCAGGAATGGTACTAGGTGCTGTATGTAAGACCTAAAATGCATATCTCTGTCAGGACACTCAGTTCAACTAAGTATTACAATGAGATTCAGTAGGGAAGTGATGGAAATATTCTGGAAAAGAAAAATTTCAGAAGGAGATGATTCCATGGCTCAATCTTTGATTTCAGAAAATTGAATAGAAGTTTACCAAACAAAGAAGATGCAAAAAGTTGCCTTAGGAAGAGGAAGGAATATGACCAATGTACATAATATGAGAGCATGGACTACTGGAAAATCTGGAAATAATTTAAAATGACTGTAGGCTAGGGCAAGAATTAGGGAATTAGGGAATGAAGTCACAAGTAGGGGCACAGTCACATATCCTAGTTTAGAGTCTTGAAGATGATGTGAATCCACTGACAGATTTTAAATAGGAGGGTGGTATAAGTTTAGCATACTACACATTTGACCTTTGGAAGTGGTCTGAAGAAAGTATGATGTGATGGTATTTTTGGCCCTCAGACTCATTTCCTACCCTTCTTTGCCAATCTCTATGCCTCTGGGGAGCGATCTCAGCTTCTTTGATGACTCCCTTGTAGTTGTGTTTAACTAATGAGAGGCATAAGCAAGGTTATCAGAAGGCAGATGGAAGGTGAAATTTGGCATCTCTTCTCTACTTGTTCCCTCCACTGATGTTCTATCTCCAAAAGTAGCTTCATTCATTCCTGGCTACAGCTCTTGCAAGTGGCCCCTCCTCCATGGCTCTACCTTTCACTGGGCTCTAGAAACTTTATTTTCTCATTTTGTCTCCTTGGTATCCCCTCTGTAGCTAGTTACCAAGTGCCTCATCAACTCTTATTTGCTCACTTACCTATGTCAGCCTTTCTGTAACTGGTCCTTTCATTAAGTTATCTTTATTTGAACTCTTTGGGTGAATTCTGTTTCTTGCTGAGATTCTAATTGATACAGCTAGGTTGAACGGATGGGAGATGGGGAGAAGAGACAGGGGAGAGACTAGAAGCAGGGAATATAGTTGGAAGGCTTTTGGATGGAGCCAGAAACCACTTGTGTATGAGCCAATATATTTGCAGTGGGAATTAGGAAAAATAGACTGGAGAAATGTCAAGGTTGTGCTAGAATTTTAGAGCAATAAAGCAGGTTAGGTATCCCAATTGACCTTCCTCTGGAAAATAAGTAAAATACCATCCTTCTTGCTTCAATGAGCTGGCAAGAAAGTAAAGAGAAGTTAGGACAAAAGAAGGTGGGACTCCAGATGGCATATGCCTAACTTGGTGAATTTTCATAGTTTGTAGGCAGGAGACCACAAGAGACAAAGCCCAAGGCCTACTCTAGACTGCTATTTCAAAAGGAAACCTCCCAATACATCCTTGATGGAAGAAATCTACCCCCTCTCCTGAAGAAATGCCAAGCAACTTTGGCACTGATGGAATGGGAATGAGGAGGCAAATTTCTGAGAATGTGCAATCACAGATGGGCCCTCACATGGCTTTTCAGCCTGAAATTTCAGTACCTGGATGGTTCATGAAAACATGGGTTGAAAATTTGATTTAAAATTATCCAGACTTATCACGTACTCGGGTGCCTGGGAGAAGCAAACATGAATCTTTTTGGAGGGGCTCCTCTTATTCCAAGCTTTGAAGAATTCAACATTTGAAGAATTCTAAGATAAATTTTAAGAAATATGAGCTCAAAAATCAGAAAACACACAAAGAAAGAAGGCACCAAAAGCAAGAGCCAACCAACCAGAACAACAGATACTAGAATAAGATCCACAAAAGCTTCTGATTTTAGTATATAAGACACAGGATATAAAATAAATATGGTTAAATATTGTAAAACATAAAAGAACTAAAAATATGACTAAAACAACAGATTTTAAAAAGAACCAACTAGGGACGCCTGGGTGGCTCAGTTGGTTGGGCAGCTGCCTTTGGCTCAGGTCGTGATCCCAGCGTCCTGGGATCAAGTCCCACATCCGGCTCCTTGCTCGTCGGGGAACCTGCTTCTCCCTCTGCCTCTGCCTGCCATTCTGTCTGCCTGTGCTCGCTCTCTCTCCCTCTCTCTCTCTGACAAATAAATAAATAAAATCTTAAAAAAAAAAAGAACCAACTAGATCATCTGGAAATTAATAATATACTAAATGAAATAAAAGACTCAAGAGATGAGTTGAACATAGCTAAAGAGAGCAGTACTACCCTTACCTTGGGCCCTGTACTTTGGAGATTGCTCTGGTCTTCATCCTGCCCCGAGAGATCTGAATGGCTAAGGATATGGCCAGTCATATGAAATCTATATGCTCCCTTCCAGATCATACTTCTGACACCAGGGACCCTGAAATTCCCACCTCAAATAGTCCCAAGCCTACTTCCAGTTCCTTATGCATACCTTTTCTCCAGGCCTCTCCTCCTGAGGGTAAGCTACACTTTCAGGGGGTTGCCAAGAAATGGCTTTCATGGGGCAATAATGGGACCTGGATTTGTAGGTTGGCTGTCTAAGTATGTATATGCAATGGTTGTTGCAGTATGGAATGGAGCTGAGGATAAAAAGAGAAGGGTGTGGAGTTAGCAGTTAGGAGTCAGCATTCCCTGTGCCACCATATTAGAGGACAGAGCTCTAAGTATCCAAGAATTTTAAATTCAAACCTGGTTTTTGTCAAGATAGGAGGAGGGAATATATTTTATTTAATTTTTTTGTTAGTTTAATTTCTGGCTTTTAAATGTGCTTCTATATGATGTGGCCTTTTCATTTGTACTTTTTACCAGGGTCCTAGAAATATTAGGGGTAGATCAAGAAGAGAAAATGTTTGTATTGAAAGGTAGTACTAAAGAAATTATCCAGAATGGCAGTACAGAGAGACAAAAAGGGAATATGGGAGAAATATTAGAAATATGGAGGATAGGAAGAGAAGGTTTAACAAACATCTAATGAAGTTCTAGAAGGGAAGGGGAGAGAGGAGACAGCAGAGGCAATATCCAAAAAGGCACTTTTTCAAAAGTGGCAAAAATCACCAATCCACAAATTCAAGAATTCCAATTAGTTATAAATGGGATAAATAAAACCTAGAACTTGACACTGCAGAATGAAACTGTAGAAAAGAAAGGAAAACAAAACAACAAAAACAATAAAAACCAACCCTGGAAATAAGCCAAATGTTCATCAGCTGGTGAATGGATAAAATTGTAATATATCCATACAATGGAAAACTACTCAACAGAGAGGAATAAACTACTCATGTGTGTAATGGCATGAATGAATCTTGAAAACATCACGTAAAGTCAAAGCCAGACAGAAATGACTACCTACTGTATGACTGCATTTCTGTGATATCCTAAACAAGGCAGAAC